ACAGCCCCCCCGCCCCCCTGCCCAGCAAATGCTCCCCCTGCATCAGGACACTCCTGCGGGTCTCTGGGGACCGAACTCCAGGGGAATCCCTTGCTCACAGATCTCCATCTGCCCTTGGAAATGAGGAGGAAATGATTTGCTGACTTAGCAGGGACTGGGTCTGTGGTGCTCAGCTTGCTCCCAGCGACATCTCCTGGGAGAATCCCCTGCATCCACAGAAGTTCACCCAGGCTTGCTGACGTGAACCTCAGCTGTCCCCTCAGTGTGTGTTTTCCTCCCTTTTTGTTTCTGTCTTGGTGCCATCCTTTGCAGTCTTAATAAAGAACACCGTAGGGACATAGAAACCTCCCTCTCCTCAACCTACTCACAATCCATCCTCCACCATCCGTATCCATGTCGCAGAAGATGGTGGTGGCGTTGCAGCCTTGGGGGTAGATGGTGTACCAGCCGCTCAGGATCTTCCCTTTACCCAACAGCTCTTGGCAGTTTCTGGCTTCTGTGCCAATCCGGGGAAGAGATCAAGTGGAAAGAGTTATTATGTGCTCACTGCGCCCAGGGATCACATCAGCCTCATGCCCTAAGCCAAAGGCTTTGAGCCCTTTAGCCTCCCAGCTGGCTCTTTGCACTGCAGGACTTTGGTGCACAGCTACTGGGAGCCAAACCCCAGTTGCAGTTTCTGAGTCACAGGGGAGATGGGCACCTGCTAAGAGATGCTCTAAAGTGCTCAGACTCTTTTCATCTGCAACGACTCTTTGGGGGGGGGGTCTGGGTGATGGAGTTGCTCTGAGTAGGATGACAAGCTCATGATCCAGGAATTTGTCCAGGCTCAGGAATGTATGGGAGGCACAGGGAGTGTATGGGTAGTTGGCAGCAAAGGAGTGGTGACACTGAAAACCACCTGCCTGTAATACAGAAAACAGTGTTCAGATCATCCTCTGTGGATTGGACAGATGGCACTTTTGAATAGATACATATATATTATGTATACATTTAGTTTTCTTCCTCAAACCCACACTTGATGACAGAAGCTCACATTCACAGATGCCAAAGGATTGACTGGAATGGTCCCCATCAGACATCCCAGCTTACAGCTGCATCTGTGGCTTTCATAGGGGAAAGCCTTGGGAGATGACCTGAGACAGTGGTGCTGGTGGTGCAGGTGTCTGAGGGTGTTGTATTTGATGAATGGATGCACAGCTGTACCAGTCTGTCTTGTGAGCATGGGTGTCCTTCCTAACAGAGGGATGGTCTGGGCCTTGGCCTGTTCCTTATTAGTCAAATATTTTTTACATGTCCAGGTGTGCTGGTTTTGCATGGCAAGGTTTTGGTAGCGGGGGGGGGGGGGGCTTAAGGGGGGGGTTTTTT